TTTTTGGGAAAGACGGCGTCGGACTTACTCCAGCTGTGAAATTGCAGAATCTATGAAGCTCACTCTCGAATTCGGGTAATTTTTTTCCTCTGCTGATGAATTTCTATTTTTATTTTTTCCCTCGATTGAACGAGTGGCAGCTCATTAAGTCGGCTTTTATTGAGGAAATTTCGGAAGGACTTAGCGCATCAATTTTGGTTTTTAGGTGTTTTGATAGCTCTAATGCCGGATCGTTATGTGTTTCTTTTCTTGACCGAGTAAAATGAGCAATCTTGGCTCAGTTTATTTGACCCTTGTTTGATTTCTGTAGTCTTCAAGTGGTTGTTATTATGGCTTTATTAAACTATCCATTGTATAGAGTTTATACAGGAAAAAAAAATGTGATTTATACTGTTAAGAACGTATCTTTTATCTTGCATATCGAGCATCTATGTATATAGCTACTGAAGAAGATGAAGTTACTTGATTTGTAGTCATAGCGTGTAAACCGATTCTTATTCATCTGGTGTTTGCTTTTAAGATAATTATATTCATCACACTTCTAATTGGAATTCGTAATTTGCTCGCCTCTTTTTTTTTTTCCCCCTTTCTTGTTGCCACATAAAGATATATGTGTGTATTTTTTATGCCAGTGGTGGATTGGAGCTTCTATGTGACTCTGTAAAGATCCATGAGGTGAATGTTGACCCACAAGCTGAAGAACAGAAGGTGAATAACTTTCTGTGACCTTTTTTTTTTAAAAAAAAATTATAAATAAATAAATAAATAAATTTAATTCTCTATACTATTAACTGAATTTGGTATGCTTACTTTGATCTTTCTGTAGTTAACCATGAAACACTTGCTCTCGTGGGTTCGCCACAATCTGATCAAGGAAAGACCTGAAATGTTTATGAAAGGCGATACTGTGTAAGTAATTTAATCGGCCTACTTGTGATTTGTTTCAGAGCTGAGTGTCTAACGTGTTTTGGATTTTGCTTATTTTGTCATTTCAACATGTCTGCCTTTTAATCTACAAGTTTTTTTTGCTTCTTGGATGAAACTTTTGCAGAGTGGATCGAATTGACTTAACGTAGAAATTAAAACTTGTATTAAATTGATCATTTGTGTTAAAAGAAAACATGGGACTTTCACAAATTACAAAAAACTTCAAACTTTTTTACGTTTTATGTTCTGGAGGACTGATGGAAGGCTATATTTTGGTAAACCTTGCTTATAAGCTGGCTTATAGTTTTTAATTGAATTTCGAGCTTATAGCTGATAGCTTATGACTTATGGCTGAGAAACTAACATATATGATAAAAGTGTTTGGTAAAATTAGCTGAAAGAAAAAATTCAACGAGCTTATTTGAATAAGCTTATGATATAAGCTCGAGCTTTTTAAAAAAACTCGTCTTACCAAAGCAAGCTTATTTGAACACATGAAGCTTATAAGCTAATTAAATATGCTATAAGCTTAGCTAACACAGCCAAAATGAGCTTGCTTTAATTGGAGAAATAAATCAGTAAAACGAAACACATTGTACGAAATAGTGACAAATGGATTGCATTTCATACAGGAGACCGGGAGTTCTCGTGCTCGTAAACGACTGTGATTGGGAATTAAGTGGTCAGCTCGACACAGTTTTGGAAGAGAAGGATACTGTGGTTTTCATCTCGACTTTACACGGTGGATAAAAAAACGAAGATATTACACAGCATGGTAAAATTTGATGGAAAACGATTATGTTGCATTGATCATCATCTTCCGGGAGCTTCTGGTGATATGATTACTCCCTGAACTCTATGTTTATTCTTTCATATGTACTGATCCTATCTGTATCCAATTACATGAAAGAGTTTAGTCTTTGTGTTCAACTATTTCCCCCAATTTCCCTTTTTTTTTTTCTCTCATTTTTCAAGATCTGTGTATTCACAAGAATGTATAACTTCAATGGGCCTTGATACTAAAGTACCGTGAATGAAAGGTCGATATCAAGAATGTTTGGCCGAAACTGCAGGCTAGAAATTTGGTAGCTTTCCAAGTCGATCGTTATCAACATAATTTGTTCCTTTTTTTTTTCTCCAGATTCGTATCTTTGGATGATGACGACGAATGTGATGGTTTTAATTGTTTTTCATCTCTCTAGCAACAATCTAGAGTTGTTATTTGAATTTGGGTTAGTTTGTTTGCAAAGATAATTCAGTTTGACTTGTGAAAATTCGAGCTTGGATAGTTCATTTACTTAAAATGAGCCGAATTTGAACAACTGAACAAGTTTGTTTAATAATTAGCCGAGCCGGGTTCTTTTACGAACTCTTTATGAATTTGGTTTTTATTAAACGAAAGGGAGATCACAAACGCAAGCGACACTGTTCTCGTGTTCTTGAGTTTTATTTTGGGTAATGGAATTTGATATCCCTTGAAAAAATAAATAAATAATTTATCAAGAAGTTAAATTCTCAGTTTACCATATCTGTCTATCTATTATCTTGCTCTCTTTGTGATTTTCAAATGTCTTGTTCTTGCTATATTTTTTTATTTTATCTTTTTAGGAACTTGAGAATATAATTTCTCTTGTCTTTTGTAAAGATCAATGAGTCAACGTATTCATCAAACTCAAAAAGACTCGTCTGAAACTCTTAACTTAACACGCCTAGTTTGAACGTGGAAAAATGGCAGAGGTTAAAACAAAACAAAAAATTAAAGATAAAAAATGTTTATTGTTGAGAGTGGGATTCGAACCCACGCCCTTTCGGACCAGAACCTTAATCTGGCGCCTTAGACCAACTCGGCCATCTCAACTTTTTGTCAAACAAATCATTATAAATTTACTCACTGTTTCAAATAATGTAACAGTTTCAAAAAATGGAAAAAAGGAAAGAAGAGGAAATTATTAATAGGTGAATGGAAAATAAAATATAGACTCTTGACGTGATTAAATTTAAATATTTATTTTTTATTTGAATGGTGCATGTAAGAGCGGAAGCATATAAATCGAGTTTTCTTATATGTGAAAAAAGAAAAAATAAAAATCAAATGAAAATAACATTTATGTACGTATGTGTGTGGTATATATTTTTTACTTTTATTTTTCTAGATACATGCATAATTAACTCATTAATATTGCTATATAATTAGTTATATATAGCTAGAGTACTAACGCCAATTATATATGATTGATGTATCAATGGGGATTAGATATATTCCCATCCTCATTTCTGACATAAAAGCAAATATCCCAAAAATAAAATAAAATTACTGTTACATATTTCTTATCAGTGAGGTTAAGTCAAGTCACATATATTCTTTTTTATTCTTTTTGTGTTCTAATTTCATTGCTTTGGTGCTTCCTTTTCCATGTTATGCACTTCTTTTGATGTGTTTATAATCCAATGGCTCCACCCATGAATGCATGCATGAGAATTGAGATAAGGATATATCCTACAATTAGTCAGCTGACGATTAATTAGATTGGTCGACCCGTAATACCTTTTAATAAAAATGAATACTTATACATATCATGAAAAGCTATTCTATTTTTTAATATGTAAATTTGTTAAAATAAAATGATTGATTAATCGTTGGTCTGGCTAACATCAACCTCACCGAAACCCATAATATGTATGAAACCTTACCTGCAAAAATATATATCATATGAGACAAATTAAATGATTCATTTCCTGGCAATATTGTTATTTATAAATTGTTTGAAGATAATAAAGCCTTGCAACTATATTGTCCAATCCTCATACACCAATACATAACTCCCCACATAATAAGTAAAATAATATTTGAATCCAAGATAATAATAACAGTAGTAATAATAATAATAATAATAACAATAATAATATTATCCCCAACGGAATCATGATGGAAGCAAAAAAATCTGACATTTTTTGTGATCACAGCAGATGGTCAACAAATCTTTGGAGGGGCAATAATGTCATGACATTGATAAAATTTGTTTTATTTATTATTATTCATTTATTATTTATTTACTTATTTATTATTTTTTCTGGTGTCCCATAATTAAGCTGCAGCCCTATATAGCTCACATGCATGGTATACATTGGTGGGTCATTTCATCACGTTCTTGCATAAATATAGCAACCTCCACAACTAATGTGTGTTTGTATGTGCTTATACTTTTATGGATTTTTTATTTTATTTTAAAATTTTATTTTGTGATGAACATTTTTTCAATGCATATTTTGTTATTTTTTATGGTTATTGTGAGCTATTTAATTTGCATGGCTCGGACAATCGATTTTTTGGGGATTGGCTGAAAAGTGAAAACAAAGTTTGATCATTATGTGATTGGAAACAATAGTATTTTATGTATTCTTTGAAATTGAGAAAAGATAATAATGGATAAGATTGAAGGACTTGTTGATTGTTGGGCAATAGCTAGTAGCTTCTTGATTTTGCAACCAACTTATTGTTGATATTATATTAATATGTTTAGACCATTTTCAGTCCTTTATTCTATTCTTTACTCTATTCTAGAGTAAAGTTAGTCAAATATCTAGAATCGTTTGCACTACATTTTACTCAACATATATTCTATTATTTTTTTATTCAATTTTATTTCAAATAAATTTCAATATATATGTATATTTAATCTTATATAAATTTTTGTTACCCGAAAAATAAAAATAAGTTGATGTGTGTTATAACTTTTGATTTTAATGAAATCTACTTATTTTATTGTGGTAAATTTTTATTCATATCGTACTATTAAAATTTACAAAGTAAATTTAAAAATACATCTATTATTATTTACATGTATATTATTAATAAACTAGACATGTTTATATATATATATAATTATTTGCGTGTATATGATTAATAAAAATATATTTAAATACAATAATAATTTTACCAACATTAATATATTTCTAATAATTTTACCAACATTAATATATTTCTAAAACCTTAATCATGTACAATTAGTGAAAAAATTAAATTAGAAATACATTTTAGTTTATTTTTTTTTATAAAAATTGTATTTATGATGTTTGTTAAAAATCTATTTACAATTCTATATAATTCAATAATATGTGATATCCAATTTAAATGGTAACAGTATTAATAAAATAAATATAAAATATTAAAAGAAAAAGAAAGAAAATGTAGCGTTGGATGAAAAATTTATCTCTGTATTCAGACCAATACTGTTTACAGCACTGGAGTAGCGAGGACATCTGGCGCAGGATTGGAGATAATTTGTAGAGATTTGCACTGAAGTAAAGTAGGGTTCGGGAAGCTCTTAGTGTGTGTTTACATATCGCCATAATAGAACACAACTTATTATATAGACACATTATATTTAGTTTGTATTTACACAATTTGCAGTGTTATATAATAGAAGATACTCATTGATGCTTTGTGAACATGATAGAACTAAAAAATAAATAAATTTTGTATAGATATTGTGAATTCCTATATTAATAAGACTGTTGCTAGGCAGACCAAATAATTATGCCTCAATTCTTTTTCAACCGAAATACATACTTTTAAGTTTTAAATTGTAACATTGTATTCTTAAAAAAAAAACATAAATAATATCTAATATTTCATAGCGTGTGAAAATAAATTTATGAATCGGTCGACTGTAAACTTTATCATGGATCTTAAATAAATAATTTGGTGTATACGAAACACTTACTTGATGCGGAAGACGACATAATTTGTGATCTTGATCTTGATGATCACACGAGCTTGAATTGATTGTTAGATATAAACTAGTTTCTCCCTCTTGACCGATTCCTTAACGTAGCAGAAAAGTGATGGGATAATAACTGCGTATCCTAATAGGAGGAGAAATGACTAATTTATATAGGGGTGCTTTAGATCTGGTACGTCCATAAAAAATCTAGCCCAATAGAATAATTAATTGTGAGCCCAATGCTTTCGGGCCACATATTCTTACATCGACCTAACATTAAAACGACCCACACAAAAAACTGTATTTATTTTCAATTTTTCATATACAAAACGATGGTTAGTTGGAACAGCACATAGCTCGCGGGCTCAATATTTTCATTACGTCCATTAAAATGGGTGAGCCCAGATAATTAAAAAAGTGGAGGGGGTCAAATGGAATTTATGAAGAGTAATGGGGTGGTTCGGTTAGAAATTTATTTTCCACCAACCAACTCCACCCTTATAATTACTTATTAGACAACTCTATAATGAGACTAATGGCTCGAGGCTACTTAGAAGCTTGGGTTTATTTTCTAATTTTCTTCCACCAATTCTTGACGTTTGAGTCATTTTTGTTGTGATGCATATACATATCAATTTGATTTTTCTTACTTTGTAAATTTAATTTTCAATATCATAGGAAGATAAATTATAAACTTATTAGTTGTATACATGTGGATAAGAAATATTTTGGATTTGATTATGAAGGAATTAATCAAGCTCCAATGAAGGATTTTCCTATTATGTGATGTCATTATTATAGGCAAAGACACTGATGGATCTCTCTAGTGCTTAACCTAGGTCTGTAAACGAGTCGAGTCGAGCTGAGCCCGAGTTGAGCTTGCTAAATAAACGAGTAAGAAATCAAACTCAAGCTTGGCTGGTTTATCACTATTAACGAGTCTAGTTCGAACCTAAACAAACTTATCTCGAGCTTTAACGAGCCGAATTATAGAAAATTATATAAAAATTCTTTTTGTGAGCTTTATCGAGCCGAACCGGATTCGACTCGTTAACCAAACAAGTTTTAAATGAACTCAAACTCGGTTCATAGAGTTCAAGCTGAACTCGAGCCTTAACGAGCCGAGCTCGAGCCGAGCTCGTTTAATTTAACAGCACTATGACTAACTAAATGGAAATTAACTTTAGTTTTTCATTTTGGTCCTCTAACTTCACAAGTTGTAAGGTATTAAGTTTAATTTCGATCCAAGTTTTTTTTTAGTGTTGAATTGCTGATGTGGAAACCGTGCATATGTCATGCCACGTTATTTTGGATACCTAATCAATTTTGTCATATCCTTTTTTCGGTTTATCGAGTCACAATCATGTCAACCGACTTGCTAATAGGTCAACCTTACTTATAATAGCTCATACATAGAGTTATTTGATTACAACTTTTCTTGATTAATACCAAGCTAGTTCAAATGTGTATATGTACTAGCACCACTACAAAAAACTTGTTATATTCT